TGCTAGTTGAGTGAGATTTTATGTCTGGGTTCCCGGTAAAATAGTCGCCTAGTGTAAATTTAAGAATTTAAGAAATGAGGCAAGGACTTACCGTACTCGCTTAAAGGCACTATGACTTCATGATGTACTTATTTTTATTTTTTTTTAGGAAAAAAAAATTACCAAATTATGTCAAAAATACAAAGAAGATATTATGAAATTATTAAATAATGAAGGTTTTTCTTGTAGAAGTTACGAAAATGAAGATGAATTATTTTATTCAGATCGTGATAAATATCTCGTTGCTGATTATGAAGATTTCAAAATTTTTATATGTTGTAAATTTAGAAGTATAAAAAATATAGGATTTAATGATATTGAACGTGTAAATGGATTTATTAAAGCATTTCATCCAGAAGATAGTGGTGTAATCGTAACTAACAAAAATTATTCAGAAAATTCATATGACCAAGCAAGAAAAATGAAAATTTTAGTATGTCAATCTAGAAATATAGTTAAAAATATTAAGAAAGAAATCGAAAGAAAAAAACAAATATTATTAAAAGATTCAAACGAACCAAAAGAATTAATTGTAGAAGTGATCGAAGAAATTATTGATGATAATATAAATGAATAGTTTTTTTATTGTTGTATATATTTTATTTTTATATATAATAAATTTAAATAAAAAATTCATTTTTTGTTAAAATATTTATTAAATTCTGGAAATTTGTTGATAATTTCATTTTTTTCTTCTGTCGACAATAATTCTTTTTCAATTATTTTATCTAACATTTTGTAAAATGGTTCACTATAATAATCAAAATCTGTTTTGTTTGCTACGAGTAAAACTACATCATAAATATTTGATGGATTTTGATATTTCAAACGTTCTTTTCTTAGATTTTTATTCATATCTAATATTTTATAAATAATAAGATATGAGAATAATAAAACAAAAAAAATCATTTTTAACAAATTATATTTGTTCAAAATTTAAAATTTAAAAAATTTTAATGATCTTTATTTATAGATTTTAATTTATATTATATTATTTTTAAAATCTAATTTAGTTAATTTATATTTTTAGTATATAAATACATTATTTACTCATAAAATTTTATAAAAAAAAATAAAATGCCTGTTTCTTTGTATGTTAAAAAAAATAATAATTTATGATTGTTTTTCTTTATCAAATTATTTTATTAACTTTATTTTTTTTTTAGAACACAAAAAAATAGTGAATACTTATTTGAAGGAAATAACTTTAAAGGTTTTTTATTCGAAGAAATTGGTTTTATTTTGTCTCCAGTTAGTTCAAAAATTGCTAAATTAGCATTAATGGGACCTGAAGCTGAAGTTTTAAAAGTTAAATGTTTTTTGATCGAAAAAAAGAAAGATGATGAAGAAATTCCTCTTGATACATTTTGTATATCTGAAAATATTTTAGGTTATTTTTATTTAAGTAAAAGTGATTATATCATAAAATATGATAATGAGAAAATGTTTCATTTAAAATTTATTGAAGGGACTAAATTTTCAATTTGGAAATATAATGATAATGTTAAACTTAATGAATAATTTTCTTTTACTAATAAATTATTTATTTCATATTTAATATATATAGGCTTATTTATTTTTTTATTTTAATAAAAATGAATTTACCTATTGAAATTAAATCATAATTTAAATTAGTATTAAATATTTATAAAAAATAATCTTATATAAATAACAAACGTATTCTTTATATTTTATTCAAAAAAAAAAAAATGAATCAAATACAACGATATAACGAGCATATAGATTCATTACAAATACAAAGATTTAAAAATGATATCATAAATTTATATAGAAACAAAAAAACTTTTCAAATGATTGTTGAAGTTGATTATGCATATGAACATGAACAAACGTGTTTCAAATATTTTTTGAATGAAATAAAAGATGAGATATTAGTATACTTAATGTATAACAGTTTTGCTAGATACAAAATAGAAAAATTCAGAATATATTATGAAAAAGTTGTAGAAAAAAACATAAATCTAAATAATTATCGAGATGAAAATAATCAATTAATAGATATAAATTATATGAAATATATACTTGATAATTGGATTCAATTATCGAAAGAATTTTATTTATATAAAGCAAATTTCACTAAAAATACTTATTAGTTTTTTTAACTTTATTTGTTTATTGAAATTTTAAATATAATAAAATATTTATATAAATAACTGTTCAACTTAATATTAAGTAAAAAAAAAATGAATATTAATAAATTTTCAACAGAAATCTTGTTGATGATTTTTTCTCTTGTCTTACCAGAAAAAATCACATTATTTTTTCGTTATGATTATTTCAATATCAAACATAGTTGTAAATTATGGTTTACAATATGTAACAAATATTATAAACCTAATCTAATCGAATACCGTTTAATAAAAAACTTTGTTCCTTGTATTCATGAACCACCTGTTTTCTTAAATTACAAATTAAAAAAAACTAAGAAAATATTGTAGGTGTTATTTGATTATGAGGATAAAAAAGAAAAAAGAAAGATTCAAACTGAAGATAATTCTTATTATATACAATTAAAAGAATATAAATCAAATATATTTGAAGGATTTTTTTATTTTATCGATTCTGATATAATTGATGAAAACTATATGAAAGATTATTGTAAAAAATGTGGAAATCTTAATTATTGTTCATATTACTCTATTTATATTTCAAATAATATAAATTGTAATGTAAACAACTGTACAATACATGGTATTCCTTTTACATATAACAATATAACATACGATAATCACCATCACTTTTTATGTTTTGAATGCAGTAAAATTGATTATAATTAAAATGTAAAATATTTATTTATATATAAATTTATTAAAAAAAAAAATATAAATACAAGTAATAAAATTAAAAAAAAATTAACAATTGTTTTGGTGATAGATAAAATTATTACATTTTTCTCTATCTAATAAATAGTCATCATAATTTTCATCTAAACTATCAACACCTATAGAAATTACACTTTCTACTTCATTCATCATTTCACTTTCACTTTCACTTTCTTTTTCGACTTCAATTTCATTTTGATTAAGATTTGTTTCAGGTTCAGACATAAAATAATTATGATAATAATAATTATTATAAAAAATATTTTTTGCGACCTCAAATCCGTTACCAAAGAAATCCAAAAGAAACATCATAAAATCAAATAATTATAATTAATAAATTATATTTTTTAGCGAAAATAAAAAATATAAATACAACTTGAAATAATAAAAAAAAATTATTACATTTTTTTCTCTTTTAAATAATATATATCAACCTTTAATTTTTTCCATTCATATTTCCTGTAATCTGATCATGAGCTAGTTTGAATTTAACAGCTTCTTCTTTAGTTTTAAAATATTTATGTTGTTGTCTTTTATTTTTACACCATTTGAATCCCCAAATTTTATCTCTTTTATTATAATAAA